CATTCAAAGCCTGCAAGTGTTTTAATTTCATATATTAAATTTAAGTAATGATGTGTATGTTCTCTGATTATAGCAAGGAGAATATTGCAATGAGGGAAGTGCACATGGGACTTTTTAGATTTAATTTTATTTAGCCTAAGCAGGGAGTCTTTGATTATATCATTTAAACTGCATAGTTTTTTTTTGCTGCTCTGGAGAGTAGACTAAGGCTCAGAGGAAATTGCAGCAAAAGGTGGGGAGAAGATCCTTGTTAACTTAACCATACAGAATGCTGGGCTATGAGTAAGTTTAGCAGTAGGGAGGTTGCATGGTATAGGGATGAAAATGTGGGCTGTGGAGTCAGAGAAACCTGGGTTTGAATCCTGGTTCTACCACTTATGGTATAATCTCGATAGCTGGAATTTGTTAGTCCTCATTTGTAAAGAGAGGGTAATAATAGTTCCTATTTCATAGGTGTTTGTGTAGATTAAATTAGGTAATACATGTAAAGTGCTTAACCCAGTGCTAGTATATATGTAAAACCCTATAATTATTCTATTTATTTCAGGCCATGCCTGTTGCATTCAAACTGTAGAGAAGGCATGTTCAGGATGTTTTCCTCTAGTTCAGTTCCCACTAAGGCTACGTGAATTAAGTAATTCAAATGATCATTTCTGAAAAACATGCAAAAGGGTATATTTTGGTATGGTAGTAAGTTGAAGGTAGTCAGCTCAATCTAGTCTAGAACTTAATTAAATGTGACCTTCAAATCTTTTTTATTTACCTCTGTGTATGTAAAAATACTATTTTCCATCATTTTACATCTCTTCCTTATTTCAACATCTTTATTCCCATTGGCTCATCCACTTACAATTCTGGTTTTCTTTGTAAAGTTGTTTTGAGCTTTGAATTTCTTTTCTTTAAGGCCATCACCCATTAAGAGCAAATTCTAAACTAGAGATCTAATATAATTTGAGACACATGTACATGGTAGATAAAAGAAGGTTGAGGTTAGACCACCCAGAAGCAATGTAAAAATTCAAAAAAGAAAAAAAATCCAATTATAAGTAAATAATAATATATAAATGAAGAACCAGGATGGTCAAATCATGGGTTTCAGGCAACAGAGTTGAAAAAAGAAAAGTATGGTAAACAAGTAAGTTAGAAACTGGGAGCCAAGTTAAATTTTATACCTGATTCTAGATAAACGTTTATTATCAATATCCCTTCTTCTGTAATATTCTTATTATCTCTAAGTGGCAGACATTCAGTGTTAAATTTTCTATATCTTGACTTACATCAGAATCGCTTAATTTTGATGTATATCTATATCTATCTATCTATCTATCTATCTATCTATCTATCTATCTATATATTTTTTAGATGAAGTCTTGCTTTGTAGCCTAGGCTAGAGTGCAGTGGCATCAGCTTACCTTACAATAATCTCAAATTCCTGGCAATCTTTCTCATTCCTCAAGCAATCTTTCTGCCTCAGCCTCCCAAGTAGCTGGGACTACAGGCACAAACCACTATGTTGGGCTAAATTTTTCTTTTTTTAGTAGGGACTTGCTCTTGCTTAGGCTGGTCTCGAACTCCTGACCACAAGGAATCATCACACTTTGGCCTCCCAGAGTGATAGAATTATAGGTGTGAGCCACCGCATTTGGCTTACTCAATTTTTTTTTTAAACAAAAACACTTTCTAAATGCTTAATATTGCTTTACATCCCTTTCTTCATCTACAGATGTAAGACACGATTAAGCAACAACCATCATTTATAGTCAGTATAATAGCAGTGGAAAACTTTCAGAAAACATATATCTTTTTTTAAAAATATTTTTATTATTTTTATATTAGGCTATATAAATACCTGTTTATTAAGCATGATTGTTATACTCATAGGTATATGAAAAAGAGTGGTGTGTTGTCTTACTATTTTAAAAGAAGTGATATTTGACCTTTATTTGTCCAAATCAAATTAGATTAAGCTTTATATGATTAAGGACCATGTCCTGCATTTAGTGAAGCACCTGGCACATAGTGTTAAATGAGCATTTTTTTTAAAGGATGAGTTAAATGAGGCACTGAAAACAAAGAATGGTATGTCAAGAGATAGGTTGAAGGAGCAAGAAAAGGAAGGGGATTACATTGGAGAATAAGGAACATATTTATAATTTAAATTAATATGTTCTGCCACTAAATTATTGAAGGTCCAATAAAAATCTCATTAATTATAACTCTCAACTTAAATTCTTATGGGATCACTCAATTTGAAGCTGGCTGATATTTTACCTCTGCACTATTTATGAAGTTTTGTTTTTCTAAGTAAACTAATAAAACTACTCCAAGAAGTTTATTTAAAACTATTTGTGAAGCAAACTTTTAAGGACTTTTGTTTATTAAATAAAAATGAATGCAACAAATTATTCTTGTTGTACTTTAAAGTTATCTCTATTTAGAAAAATAAACATATCTAGGTGCAAATTGTTTACTATTTCCTATAGAATCATCATTGTCTCTAATTCAACATCCTACCATAATCAGAAACTGTTTGTAAATATTCTTGACAAGCCTAAATTACTTACATTACCATCATCGCTACCATTGGCATATCATCATTTATGGTATTTTTTTTAACAACATCAACAATGCCATTGACATAGTGTCTCCTATGTGTCGGACACTGGACAGTTCACTTCATCTCTGTGAAGAATGTATTATCCAAATTTCTTAGATAAAGTACCTAATCCTTTGGAGAATAAGATACTTCTTAAGGTCTTATACTTATAGAAGTATAAGAAGTATACTTATAGAAGTATAAGATCCATAAGTATCTTATACTTCTTAAGATTATTAAGTGGTAAAATCAAAATTTTTACCTATGTCTATGTTGACTGCACAAAATACCTCCATAAAAACCTGATAGTTTTACTTGATATGTAAAATTAAGTTTATTGGGCCTATTGCAACTCTCCTATTGCAAGGGAGAATACCAATTGCAATTCTCCTATTGCAAGGGAGAATACCACCTTGACAGAATGTATTAGTTTGGTAGAACCTCTATAGCAAAGCACCACAAGCTGGATAACTTCAACAGAAATGTATCTCATCTTTCCAGGTGTTGTCAGGGTTGTTTCCTTCTAAGGGCTTTGAGAGAGAACTTGTTCCATGCTTCTTGCCTACATTCTGGTGGATTTCTCACAATCTTTTGTGTCCCTTGGCTTGGACACACATTATATTACTCTCTGACTTCATGTCCACATGGCATACTCCCTGTGTATATGATTGTTTCCCCCTTTTATAAGAACACCAGTTATATTGGATTAGGGACCCATGGTACTGCAGTAGGACCTCATTGTAACTTAACAAGTTACATCTGCTATGGCCTATTTCCAAATAAGGTCACATTCTGAAGTACAGGGGTTAGGATTTCAACATATTTTCAAAAATATCTTTGACATTTTCAACTTATTTTTCAAGTCTTAACCCCCAACACCTAATGTGGATACCTACGTATGATAATAACCTAACTAATTTTTGAGGGAGATAATTCAACCCATAACACTGACTCTTAGCAAGCTCTCAAGATGAAGAAATTAGGGAAGAGTATTTATGATATTTTAAGGCTGGGCTATATAAATTTTATAGCAACTCTTACAAAGTGGAGTACTAGTTGGGCCTGAGCAAATTTTCTGACAAATTAGTTTTACATTGGTTGGCAAAATAAGGAGACATACACAAAACATGTTTTGATAAACAAATTGTTAGTCTTGATAGGTTTGCCCTTTGGTTGATTCATAGTCTTACTCAAAATTTGGGTATATGTTGAATCAAGCAGCTAGGTTACTTTAGATCAATCTCAGAATTGTTCAAAATAGGGAGTGAAGAGCATACCTTGTCACAGAATTATTTAGTATAAAAAAATTGGAATTATGTTGGTTTCATCCTCATTTGTGTAACTTCAAAGCCTTTCAACTACATCATTTTAACTTTCTTTTCTGACAAGACAAAAAGAACTTTCTTTTCCATCATTGATATATCCCAAAGTAGTCTATAATGCTTTTGAATAACTCTAATAAACAGCTTGAAATCAATTTAGATTAAATTTTTTACCCTGCTACAATCACTGTTGGTGAAGTTTGAGTTACATCTCTCTTCCCCATGAGAGTCTTCAAAAAGATTGCCTGTCTTTCTATAAGTATGTCTATCTACACACATATCAATATATATCCTATTCCAAGTCTTTTGTTTTCTACACAAATAACCTAGCTCCCTCAAGTTTTGAATACAAGCTATATTTATACTGTAAACAATAATCATTTCCTATGATGTCAATAATGTTGGTAATAACTCCAAGAATATTATTTTAGATAATAACATTATCAGCATCCCATGTCTTTTTGCATTCTGAAACTTGGCTACACTTTCAAGTACAAAATGAATTAATTAGAGTATCTTTGATTCATTTCAACCATCTTAACACAAGTTTTGATACAATGTGTTACCATTTTGTTGGCAGGATATAAAACCATGTGACAGTTCTATCCATAATTATATCTTACTATTGTTTTGAAGTTAGTCTATCAATATTTAAGATATCATAAACATTTTGTCTAAGGTTTTCTAGGTAATCATGTTTATCAAAAATATTCTATTTTATCAGCTGTAATAATACAATATTTAAAATAGAAAAGGAGTTTCAGATATAAGTCTTGTAGTCAAGGTGTCTACATTTAAGTCTGCATTTTGGGGAAAAAGGTGGGGAAATGTCAAGAATTATCTCTTTTGGTAAGAAAAAATTCTTTTGTAAATACATATGTCAAATGTGTTATAGAATTCTACTCATTTTAATTGATAAATATTCTGTGATGGGTAATTAGATCAGTAGAATGAAGTCCAACAATCAACAGAACCCTTAAAGTAATTTAGAGTCCTTTTGACTCTTCAAAGGAAATTCAATAAGCATTTGAAAAACAAAATCAATAAGGAGTTTTAAATGTTTCTTTTTTAATTCACTACAGGCTCCAAGTTTTCTCTCCGAGGCCCTTTTTCCTAGACATGCAACAAAAATTGAAGAAATGGATCCTTTTTTCAAACTTCATGAAACTATTACCAAGGTAGGAGAGAAATGCATTCATAAACAGGTTGGGAAAGTTTTGTTCTTCTTTTATTGGTAGATGGGGAAAAGGAAAATAACTATTAATAATAAAGGGAAATCTATAATATTTTCATTAATAGAATATACCAGAAAGGATTAGTATACCTTATTTTACTAAGGCGTAAAGATGATAAGCAACTCATTCAAGATCATGAAGATACATAACTGATAATTTATATTAAAAATCAATTTTTAATAAAACAATTAGTTTTTTCTCAATTTTAAAGTAGACTTTTGTTATACTCTCAAATATATCTCTTGACTTTAGATTAAGAGCATTATAAAATTGAATTTGAATTTCTCTTCAAAGGTTTGTTTTAATATTTAAGATATTTCTTTGTAGTACTTTTTGTTGCAGTTTTTAAAAGGCTGCTTTTTAAAATGAAAAAGTTAGACTGCATGAATAATAAGAAATGTTTTTACTGTGTGGTGGTAATACTTACATTTTTACTATGCAGTCTCTGACTTGGAATGGTTCAACTTATAACTTTTTACCTTATAATGGTGCAAAAACAATACATAATTCCATAGAAATCCTACTTTGTGTACCCATACAACCATTTTGTTTTACACTTTCAGTGAAATATTCAATAAATTGCATGAGATATTCAACACTTTATTTTTAAAGAGGGTTTGTTTTAGATGATTTTGCCCAACTGTAGGCTAATGTAAGTGTCTGAGTACATTTAAGGAGGGCTAGGCTAAGCTATGATGTTCAGTTGGTTAGGTATATTAAATACATTTTCTACTTATATTTTTAACTTACAATGGATTTATTGGATTTAACCCCATTGTAAGTTGAGGAACATCCTTATTTAAAGTTTATTATATGAAGAAAATTAAGTTTTACAGTATGGAGTAAATAAATTTAATGTTCCTGATGTCATGTGACATCAGATGAATTTTTATATTTATCAATTATTTATTTAACCTGTTATAACTTACCTTTTGGGGATAGACTTCTTAGAGAATATTACAATTTTAATATTATTAAGGTAATCCATATTTATATATGCTTACTTGAAAGACTGAATCATTCTTAAATCTCAGTGAAACTTTACAAGGCTGATTTTCTCTTTTAAAAAGAGGAAGTGTGGTAAAATGAACTGAGCCCAATGAGTAGCAATAGAACAAGTTCAGAATTCAAAGACTAGAGTCGATGTCTGTCTCTGACATTGAAGAGCTTGTGAATTTACTTTTTTCTCAACTTTAAAATAAGAGGAGCTTGAATTGTATTTTGCTTAAAATTCTTCTAAGTTCAAAATATCTGAATCTTAACTATGTATTTATTATTCTTGGCAAAATCATCTAACACAAAGTTTATCCCAGTCACTAGATTTAGTTTTTAATATCTCCATTATCCATTATTATTTGGATATAGCAAGATAGAAGTGGACCCAAAATGCCTACTTAGTATTCAAAATCTTAGCTGCATTCCTAATACCTAGAGATTATTTATGTGAATATATACAGATGAATATATATGTATGATAAATATATACTTAGTTGAATATATATACTATATATATATATATTCATTCAAATATTCTTGATACTTAAAGTCTACATTTATTTATCTATTTTTAAGCAAAGCATGTTAGAGAATCTAGAGTAACAGAATAGTAATATTTTCTCCATTTTTTATGCCTTCCTGTGGATTGGGAAAATCAAGGATTTTTGTGGAAGGGGCAATTTGAGACCATGTTGACATCAGATATTTAATGAGATGATAGTGTCTAGCATGTGAAATCTCCAGCCAGAGAAAATGCTAGGCTTTTGATTTCAGAGGTATAAACACATACTAATTCTCGATGTCTGAGGTCTTGACCACATTTAAGAACTACAACTCCTGAGAACATGTTGGGAAGCAGGAATGGGAAGCAGGGATGGAATAGAGGAGCATAGAACACAGCAAGAACATACACGATTCAAAAAAAGTTAGTGTGAAACAGACAGAAAATAAGGGACCATTAGAGAAAAGGTAACAAATTCATTCATAGATATTGGTACATATTTTTACATGTGTTTTCTAATATATGTGATGCATAAGTAGATATTTAGTTAACTCATTAAGTGGATGTTGGGAAGGATTCTATGTCTGTGAAAAAAATTAAAAAAATAAAAATAAAAAGCTGCTTAAGTGTAGAAGCAAGGGTTCTGTGAGATTTTTTTATAACCACATACACTTATCTGATGTTTATTCTGTTTCCCCAATCATCATGTCTACCTGCACTCTAGTTGCAGTCATGGGCCAAGGAAAGAAACTGTGCTTCATAAGTTGCAGTCTTATTTCACCAACTGCAGAACTGAGAAACCATAAAACAAAGTATTTACTTCATTTTAATGTCAAATTTTCTTCTGCCAATAACAAAATAAAATCACCTATTAAATATACAGGGGTCAAATGCATGACTAGGAAATAAGGAGCATGCATTTTAGTTCTATCTGGGCTACCAAATTGTTATTTTATTTGGTAGAACTTTATTTTATTTTCTACATCAAAAAGGAGTATATTGATAATGCTCTTTCTCACTAGGATTCTGTGATGTTAAAAGAGATGTATGTATACATTTTCTCTAGAAACATAATGTGTATTTAATTAGGTATTATTATTGGCACGTTAAAAAATACTAGTGCTAAAATCTTTGAAGTAGGCCCTTACTTGCATTTTCTGAACTTCGTTTTTACTTTACATATAAATTTATATATTTAACATAGATATAAAAACATTTAATGAAACTAATTAATTAAATGCTGAGAATACACTAAGATAGTATGTACCAATGGAATATAACATTTAATTTGTGAAGAGTTGAGATCTTTAGAGTATTTTGTTTCACTAAGGTTGATAGTGGTGTTATCACAGAATATCACATTTAATACACTTCTATTCTGTATAGTAGTGTAATATTACATAAGTAACATTCAACTTTGAATTAAAAATCCTGGCTAGATATGAATTCTCAGTTCTCAATTATAATAAGATGATATGAAATATGAGAGACACTTGGTAAAATTATAAAGCAAAATTATTATTAGTATTATACTAATATTAAATCATTTTCAAGAAACTAGAAGTGACTTTATTTCTCCCAATATGCACAATTGCATATTTTATATTATCTAATTAAATAAATATAATAAATATATAGCTAATAAGTATGTACATGTGGTGCAATATATTATCCTTTCCAAGTCAGTAACTCTTTACATTCTAGGCCTTTGCTATGGATCACAAGTATATATTTATATCAAATTAAATTACAATTGCTATATATTAGAAAGTTAATAATTTGTAATCGGAGGTTTGCTGAATTTAAATCATTATACAATTCATCCATGTAACAGAAAAACTTGTACTCCCTTAATATTTTGAAATAAAATATAATAAATGAACTATACTCATAGATGGGATAAGAACTGTGAGTCCTTCAAAGTAGTTTTCCAGTGTTGTCCTATAGTTCATTTTTTTTTTCACAAAGTTTGAATTTGTCTTGGCATTCGTCTTTTTGAGAGAAAGCATAGAACCTAAGAAAGTAATGAATGAGGCTCAATATTGATGCCAAAATGTGTAATTCATCATGGCTCCAATGACAGGTGATACAATATAAAGTTGCTCGAGGGTGACGCATGCTGCATCAATGTTGAAGATTTTTTTTTGTCCTCTATAATGAGCTTTAAAAAGTAGCATCTGTTTTTTTTTTTTAATTATCATAGAAGGCAGAATAATTTCTTCAAAGACTAAACATGAATTAAATACCAATATCAATTCTAGCTGCTTAATCCTTTAATAAGTGAATAAAAATCACCATGGATTCATGTTCTGTAATAGGCTTATTTCTCCTTCTACACCCAGGATTTTCTGTTATGTTTTAAATCTGTAGCATTTAGCTGATAAATTGTTATTAGTTGTTTAAGCATCCTAGTAGTCTAATATAAGCCAAACATGCAGCAAAACACTTGAAATACAAAAACAATTAATACACAGGAATAGGTTCAAGGGAATAAACGAAGTAAGCAAATCATTATCATATAGTATGCTAAACGAGATGATATTAATGTGAACAAAGTGTAGGAGGGAAGAAGATGGAGCTTTGTCTCTAAGAGATTTGAAGAATTCACCAGAGAGGTGACATTTGAAGAATTTAAGGAATTTAAACTTTATCTTAATGTCAATGAGTTTCTTTTGACAGTGTTTGAAGATCAGGTTGTTGGCGATGGCATGTGAAAAATAATGATATGTATTTTGGAAAACAGAAGATATTTGAGAGACCGTTTTAAGACTGAATGGCAGGTTATACCACCTATGGGATGTGAAATACAGTGAAGAGTCAAGGATAATTTCAATAGTTCTATCTTAGGCAAAGTTGATATTATTGAATAATTATTAATCAAATTAGGGGCTGGTTTGGAGAAAGTGAAACTGAATTTGACATTGGACATTTGGAGTTTTGGAGTGCTATAGGGTGTCTAGGCAGATTCATTGAGGAGGCAGTGGGATATATGGGGTTGGCACTCAGAAATAAGGAGGATCTAGAAATGCACTGTCAAACATAGTAACCACTAGTTGTGTGTTTTTAAATTAAAAAGAAATTTAGATTAAATAAAATTAGAAGTTCTATTCCTCAGTAGCATTAGACACAACTTACACCATGTATGCTAGTGGTTATTGTATTTGACAGCATAGATTATAGAATATTTTTATCATCACTGATGATGTAGATGACATTACCCTGGCAATATTCATGAACAGGAAGAGAAAGAAAGAGGAGAACAGACTCAGGATAGAGTATTTCATGCAATCCACAAGAAAAGAACATTATAAGGAGAAAATGTTCAAACGTATATTCACCCAATCAACTGCTCACTCGCTATAACTTTTGAAGCAATTACTTGGAATTCTTTGACTATTTTCCTCTTCATTTATGCCTTATCCTCAGATTTTTGCTGTACTCAAGA